TTGAATGACTGACCGTTTTCCGGTACATTCTTCTACTCACGACCCCGCTGTTCCCTTCCATCAGTCAGGTGCCATGTGGTGAGGGTGGTCTAAGGTATGCGTGCCCCTCTTTCCTAATCCCGCCATCAATACGCCCCGATTGTGCCTGCCATCTCACACACACACTGTGCAACTGGCGGACCACTTTCCCTAAGGCACCCTCGGTGGCCATCATTGTGCACTTTTCTACCTACCTATTACCTTGCCTCCTTATCTGCAGTACCTAAACTAGGTACCTCGTCCTCCTTTATTTCTTCCATCTTCATTTACCGTCAATTACTGAACCGTCGCCTTTTGCGTCCAGTCTATTCTCATCCTTCTTATCAGCGCCAACGGCACTTCAGATCGACTTATCTAAAGTGCTTTGGACGTCACGGTAGGTCACTGCTGATAACCCCACCAACCCACCGTACCCCGACCACCCCCCCTTGCAAGCTCCTCTCGGCTTCCCAGCCTAGCTGCGATAAAGCCTTATCGCTGCCTGCGCTACTGCCGCGACTGCCTGATACAGTACCGATACGGTGCCACCTCCAGATTCCCGACCCACTTCACATTCAGTCACCTCAATGGTCTAACTTACACTGTATCGCACCTACCTCTCCGCTGCCTTCCTTCTGCCTCCTAACTCTTAACTTTCAACCCGCCTGCGGTTCAAGAAGGAACGCCTTATTACCATACCTACCTACCACGTCTGCCTCTCCACCTTGACTTTCCTTTCCACCTCTCTTCGAGGTGATTTCGTCTATCTCCAACAGAACCCTCTCCATTCTCAGCACCATTCGAGACCCCGCCGTCCCAACATCAATCGCTTCCCGCGAGCTCGGTCTTATTCAGACGGAGGTACATGCTTCCGAGATCTGTCTGCCACCTTGTGCTGACTTCGCTTTGTAACAAGCCCGAGAACCCCTCGATTCCTACTTTTTTCTATCGTCGGCTGGCAGCGATACGCTCGAGAAGCCAGCACCAGGATGTCGTCGTCGAGTTCGACGGGTCCGAGACCTCAAGCACATGATGGTGAGTTCCACCCATTCTACATCTTCACGCTAGGTTTGTGACTAACCTATTGTTAGTGCTGGTCAAGTTCAGCGTGAAGCATCCCCGCCCCGAAGTACTCTACCCAGAGCGAAGAGTTATCCTCGAGCAAAGCAAAACCAGCGTCCTGGTTATTGGTCGATCCAGCAAACGATTCAATAACCTGGAGGCAAAGGGCGACAATTGCTACTTCGATAGCCCGGTGATGAGCCGTGAGCATGCCAAGATCACGATCGACTGGTACCACAAGGTAAGTGATCTCCCGTGGCAACAACCAAATGGATGGTTGCTAATGAATTCTAGAAACTCAACATCAAGGACATCGGATCTCTTCATGGCACGTACCATAACTCTCAGAGGCTGCAGCCTCGTACGCTCTGCGAGCTACAGCAGCATGACACCCTTAAATTTGGCATCGACATCCAGCGATCCAATGAACTCTTTCCACCGTGCACTGTCGAGGTGGAGTGGGAGTGGGATACCTTAATGAAAGCTGCGCAAGCCTCGAACCAGATCAAGTCCCGGCCATCATTCGCAGTCCCCGATGATTCGGACAGCAGTGATTGTGATGATGGCATTACCGAGAGCGACGTCCGCGACACCGCTGTGAAGCTCCGTAAAATCGGCATGCTACCAGCACCGGCCGTAATCCCAGGCCGCCTTTTCGTTAGCTCCATCGACCTTACCATGGATTCACCCATGCATGAGCCAGAGACGAACGGGGATGCGATCGATCCAATCGTTATCGACGAGGATAGCCAGACACCTTCGCAGGACCTTGTGGAATCCTCTCTTATCACCACGCAACGCGAGTTGGGCGCCCCTCGCGAGGAAGAGGAGATTCTGGTACCCAGCCTCGATGACCACCGCCAACCCCCTCCCGCGGCTTCCTCCGACTCAGAGTCAGCTGAGTCCGACGACGAGTCTTATGACGACGAGTCGTCCAGTTATCCTGACGAGCTCCCCTCGAGCTACGACGGCTTGCTCGGCTCTTGTGACGAGGACATCAACCTTAGTGCTTCCGACAGTGAGGAAAACAGCGAAGACGATGACAATGAAGAAGATGAGGAACAGGAAGTTGAGATTGAGAGTGGCTCAGACGTGGAAAGCGATATCGAACCCCTGGACAACCCGAGTTATGAGCCAGACCACCCCATGGCTCACGACTATGACTCTGAATCTGTTGCCGAACAGCCCGACTCGACTCTCTGGGCAGATGAGGGTACATCTTACATGTGCTCACAGTCCATGCCTAAAGCCAGCTTATCACACCAACCCTGTGATGTCCCGGCCACTTGGCAGTCGGAGCAACCTAGCGTTCAGGGTGCCCCGTCTCGCCCGCTTGGGCCGATGCAAATGCCAGCGCTTCCTCCAATCGTTTGGCCTGCACTGACCATTGCAGATCAGGGTGAACAGGGACGTCCGAATGACTTCCGGTTGCCCTCGATCTTGAATCCTCTTGATCCACACGTTGAATCCTTTTCCGAGGGAAGCAATTGCGCACAGCAATTCCCTGCGGTTCAATCGACGGAGCACCCTGCACAGAAGGAGGTAGTGTCACCAAGTTACACTCACTGGCAGCGGGCCTATGAGACCCCTAAGCTAATTGCTGCCCCCGCGGACAAAGGCTCCTGGACGTTAGCTCAGAACAAGGAACCATCGGCCGAAGCACTGGGTCATCTAACTGGCAAATCCGAGTTCTTCGCAGCGAGAGAACACAATAAAGCACTTATGCGCCGCCAGGAGCAGCAGGAAGACTCCTCTCAGCCCAAGGCCAGGACATCACAGACGACCGAAGTGTCTGCTGAAGTTTTGACGTCTCAAACTCAGCCCATTGGTGTTTCGAACAGGGCTGCTGCCTCGGAACCAGAAGCTCCCAAGTCTACCAACGTCGCCGAGTCAGTGTGGTCGGCCTCCGGAGACATGTTTCTCAACACACCCCAGGATTTCCCCCTGTCCGAGGTTAGGAACACCAGTCCCGAGCTCGACATGACGAGCGCCTATCAGTTCCACCAAAGCAAGCTTGCATCCAGCCAAATCAGTACTGTTGATGCAGCTCAACCTGCAACTAGTGAGCCCGATCGTGCTCAACAGACAGCAGTGGCTTTGAGGTCTCCCAAGCGTAAAGCAGAGGAGATCTCCACCCTTGCCCCGGAGGAGGAGGCTATCGAGACATCAAAGCAAACTGCCAGTGAGATGCAGATAACTTCCGGACAGACCGTTCCAGCTGCTGTCAAGCCGGTCAACGAATGTGCAACCCCGCCTTCCAAACGCCTGCGAGGTTTTTTGACTAAGGCTGGATATTTCCTCGGTGGAGGTGTCGTTACTGCTGCGGGTCTGGTGACGGTCCTCTCTGCTGCTGCTCCTGCCCTCTAGTGGCAGTTTATCTATTTGGCTTTCCCCACGTACTTTGTGTTATATTTCTTCGGCCGCAGGAACGGAGTCAGAGTGGATTGACTCTTTTGGCTGACCCAAGACTGAGGGTTCTCACAGGCTTCGAGGATTGGTACTTGGTGTTGGTTCATCAGGATGGGAGAAGGGAATGGCTTCTAAGCTGGTTACTTCACGAACCGGGTTCTGTTGGTGGACCGCTACGAGACATAAGGGCATGGCTTGCCCGGAGAGGAAATATGATATACCTGGGGTTCGAGATACCAGGCTTTCTATCTTTAGAGTGGCTCTTTCCTTTTCACAGTTCTCGTCCTATTCGCAGGCTTAGGTCAGTTAATACACGTTTTTCTGGTAAGTTGACGTCCCCTAAATTTCAAAATGCAATAGACAATGTGATATGGTCAGGTGTCGTGAGCACGCCTACAAAACATGTTCATCTGTACCTTATAAAGTTCCTCAGATGCTCCTAATTTGATGTTCCATCCCATTTTGTTTCTGCTTCTATTTTTTGTAATCAGGCGTAGTCTTACGTTCACTGCAACAAACCATAAGGAGCCAGAAAACCTTCGAGTCCTCTCATGTCGATAAATAGGGGGAGCTTCCGAGTGCATATGAAGCTAGTTCCTCACAAGAGGACTGCCCGCATGGCTACCGCCTACAGACACGCCGTTGGCATCTTCTCTTTTGACTAGTTACAGCAACTCGGACCGCGCGAGGGAGAAGCGCAAGCGAGTATACCTTTACTGAAAAAGCATCGCTCATCGACATGAATTGCAGAGCGCTTTGCCCTTAGCCGGTACGCCGATCTCTTTACCTTTGCATTTTACGCTTTACTAGTGTCCATATATGTTTCTACGTGTTAGCTTTATAGGGAAGTGAAGCGGGTAAAGGGAGGGAAGAGAGGAGAAAAGGGAAGGTTGACGCTCAACAGAGGAAACGTTCTGTAGAAGAGCACGGGAGTGAGCAGGGGTGTATCATTAGTGGAGAGCTAGAAATGCAATGCTGGTCACTCTCTGTGCGCTTCATAGCCTGGAGAAGCGAGTGGAGGGCGGTGATTTTATTCAGGCTGATAGAGTGAACCGGCATCATGCAAGTTCTTTTCCATGTCGCTTAGGTTTACTCGGCTGTATCGCAAACATTGCCGGAATGGGGCTGGGTTGGAGGGGCTTGGGGGTTGATCGTGCTGTGGTATATTGATAGGCTTCATATGTCCAGAATTTACTGCTACGTTTGTACCGAAACATGCTACGACTCGGGGAAAAGGGTTTTTTTCTTCTTCTCAGCTCCATGTTTCTGAGGCATTGAGGTCGGTTCACGATCTGATCTCTTTACTTTGGGTCTTGCACTGTTCCCTCCACACACCGCCGGGAACTTCATCTAGAGCGTGGCAGGGTCTGCTGATCTACTGTTCACCGAGTGGCGAGGATGATACTTGTGATGGGGTGATCATGAGCTTCAACGTTGTGGCAGTGGTACTGTCGGAAAGGAGAGAGATGGGAGACCAAGGAAGAAGCCATCACGGGGCTTGCGCTGAATGTGCGTACTATGCCTACGAGTCATCTTCACATCTATCAGACGTCCAAATAGAACGAGGGGGGCATGGGCCTGCATGTTGATCATGCCGGGAAGATGCAGTCGTGCGATGTAACGAGAAGAGAAGAGAAAACAAAAGGAGGAAACTAGTTGTCCCCATTCTCTACGCAGCGCCTCCCTCGGGTCTGGAAAACGAAGCATCCGACTGTCACGATAATTATCGTCGCTGACCATGGGAATATCCGTCAAAGAGCCTGTCGATCCGGTATCCCGCGCCGGGCATGCCGCGTCAGTCGGGCCTCGGGGAAACGCCAAAGAGAGCACAAGCAGGTCAGATGACCATTTGCGAGCGCTTCGAGTAGTAACGATTGATATACAGGATGGGTAGTACAACAGGGAACTACTCGGCCAAGGGGGAGCGCTGGCAATGTAAGTCTGGTATGGTCGTGTGATTAGGGCGGTACGGTTTCGCTGTGATTTCTTGATTATGGTCAGTTGCTTGTACTAGCATTCTTCACTCGATGGAGGATGGAAGCCTTTCTCACCTATTTTGGAAAGCTCCCCAGGCCATTCGAGGTTGTAAAAATACTCTTATTGTCATAAAATGCATAGGACCAGCATTGTGTTGGAAAGATGGGAGGCCATACCATGCTAAATCGACAACTTTCTCATTTACACTCATTATCGTTAGCATGGTCCAGCTTGATGCATCTTATGTTAGCTTACGAATCTGATCTCCCCTGAAGAATTCACGTTACCTAAAGTGAAGCACGGATAGGTATGGTAGTAAGCGAGAACGGCATGCTGCTTGATGCGTGCCCGATAGCTGGTTCTCTCGACACCGCCTTGCTAGGCATAAGCCGCGCGGGAGGGGTCGCTTCATGAGACAGCAAGACATAGTGGAAGAGTCAAAGCAACTGTTGTGCTCCAACTCCCGCGAGAGCGAGCATATCCTTGGCCCCAATACGGAGTTACGGTTGGTCCCGGTTGGTTCTGCAGAGCGTCGCACTGTCAGGGGTGAACAGCGATATAAGGCGGAGAAAGCTGGGATACGTCCAACGCGGCTTAGACGGCTGCATCCAACAACACCGCCTTTTGCATTTTTGACATTCCGATGTGCGCTTTGCATGGTTTTGCTCCTTCTGTTGCAGTTTTCCAAGGCCCTAAGGCGCCGGTGTAAGTCTGTGTGGCAGGATCGGCATGGGTATGCTGCAGGTAGCCGTACGCCGGTCGAGGTCGAGGGCTGATTGATGAAGCAGCTGGCAAATGAGGTACCGGACCAAAGTCCCGTAGGGGGGTAAAGCCAAATTGAGAGACATTTGCAGCCATTGTGTCAAAGGAACAATGAAGTCAACTGAAAGCAGCCAGAAATATCTTGAGATGCCGACACGAAGGGCAAAGAGTGGAAAGGGAGCTATGGATGAGGTCGGTGTAAAGCACGGCACCGCAACACCGGGGGGTTGTTTCCTTCCACGGCATCGAGGCGATAACATGTGCAGGATAAGACACGTTCCAAGGGTGGCTGACGTCAATATCAGCATCAACTCGCTGGGAAATCGTCCCAGCGGACCGTCGGCTCATTTGCCCAAACGGGATAAGCAGGATAAGGCGACATATGAAGTATCACCCACCTCTATTACCCTATTCGCTAGTCCGTGAGATGAAACGAGGCAGCCTCAACGGCGGCAGCCAGAAAAGTCACAAGACCTCGTCCAGAGTTATTTCCTGGTAATGTCCTGAATGTATTGAAAGCCCAGAATGATGATTGCCCGACTGGAGAACGGCGAGGGCGGTGAGGGAAGTCGAAGATGGACATATCTTTTGCGCAAGTTCGTGGACCCGTGTGCGTGGCTATCTTCCATGGTCTGCGCAGCCGCACCTTGGTGTTGTTGGTTAGAGAAACTATATAAGGCGAATGCGTCCCTCCTGAACGAACCCTCCCTAGAGAACAACACAACTAACGCCCTTTTCTTTGACAACCGGTTGCCTTCTGAGAAAAGGAGACCTTTATCAGACAGCCTTATTGAAGTTTTTGCTCAATCTTACACGTCGCCACCATGGCCGCCGAAGACATCTGCGGCTGCATCGGAGACATATACTCTGGCAGGTGGGACTTCAGAACCTGTAGTCACTGTTTGGGACATGAACGGTAGGGTCCACCGGCCGTGGTGAAGTATACCGCAATGTTGACGAATACCGCGAAGGAACGCTTGTGATTTCTGCGGCTCCCAAGGCGTAGTCAGAGTTCCTTGCCCCCATGGGAACGCCGGCGACAGCCGTTCATTGGGCTCGAAGCCACGAGCCGGGGGCGCGCGCAGAGACAGACGGGGACCGAGGGATCCAACAGGCCCCCAAAACGGGGGCCCAAACAGAGGCGTTGCCGCTGGTTAGTCTTGGCCAACACCAGTAGACCGCTGGCCTGAACCCCTTGTGGATATGTAACCCCGAGAGTTATGTGACCCTGAAGAAGAGCGAAGTGATCACAATGATGAAGCTTGTTTGTTTTGGCAGGGCCTTGTCGGCAACGACCTGCCTGGTGGTTCTTTTCGGCTGGGTATCGGTGTTGGGGATCCACGTATGACTTTAGTTGGACGACGTGTGAAAAGGGCGTTCGTGGGAAATGTGTTTGGGTAGTTTCAGTAAGATGATTTCCAGCAGAATCGTTGTAGAGTTGAGGGCATAGTTTTCCGAATAAACGAAGGCCATTATTTCACTCCTTTCTGCGCCGGCTCAACAATAATCGAGTCTAGCATCTTATGAGCTGCTTCGGAAACGCTAGCGTAGCTTCTGGTCGGACTTGCCAAAGCGGTGTGTTGAATGCCGTAGTAGTAGCATCCCGCCGCTTATCCAAAGGATCGGAAAGACTAAGGCTGGCAAATATGTCTCGCGTGAGGAGTTGAGTCAAGGCATTCTATCCCATCGAAATCTGCTGCAAAGTAGGGTGTAGGCTGGCTACGAATAGCCGGTATACGAACTGAGCCGTATTCACTGGAGCAAGACTCGAGCTTGGTTGGAAACAAGCGATGCCAACCCCGGACCAAGTACAATCCAGCTCCGAGTGGGATATCTCGATGGTGCCTGCGCAATCGGAGACACTGGGATTACGTCCGGTTGAGACAGGCTCGTTATAGAACTTAAAGCCTCGTTTTGCAGATTCCCAAGAAGCCGCCGTATTTACTTGTGCACCAATGCCTAGTTGCACAATAGCAAATACTTTGGCCTGACCCCGAACGATAGAGCTCCGTCTACAGCACGGCTTCGTGCCCCTTAGTCACGTGGACAACATGTCTGAGAATTGTTCCTTTCCATGAGTTCCTTGTACGTAGTTACTTGGGTTAAAAGGCATGAATGAATTCCAAACCCGAATACTCCAGAGCTCAACGGGCCTTCTCTTGAACTTGTTTCCGATGTCATGACGTCCTAGGCAAAATGATTGTTCCAAAAGACGATGCCATATTCTGAGAGGGCCGCATAAGTCCGGTTATCTTCCATAGCTACCCGAAAGCTGTGATTGCCTGCTTTCGGAGACTTCTCTACTCTGCACCACCTCCTAGGTAGAGCTTATGGGCAATACATCAATCATCGGGTGTGTAACGGAAGGACAAACCCCCGATGCAGGGAGGATGAAAAGGCGACATAGGTCACCGGAATTTCTGAAGAAGTAATCATTTCTTTTTTCCCTTGGGGGTGGGGGGTGAGGCGGAAGCCACTCGGCTTGCAGCCCCAAATTCTAGGCCCGAGAAGTCAGCGACTCGAGCTGTAGAGCGGCGGCGTACCTCTGGATTTGGCATACCGAGATATGATCCCGAGCACTTGGTGTGGGACAAGGAAAAAGGAACATGATGCCTCCCGAAGAAGTGACAATGTCGACCATATTAGTCTCTTACAAGATAATTGTTGCAAGCCTGAGTCATCAAGGACTCGTACAACATACTCGTTGGCAGGAAAATTGCCAGTGATGTATATTTTACCGCCTATTTGGCATATAGCTGATGTACCAATGGGATCTCCAAAGCTTGGCGCAAAAGGGCTGTCGTTCTGCTGGCCGGGCCCTAAGATCCCCGAAGGAATCCTGCGAAACCGCGAGACTCGATGCCTCTGCCAGCAGGAACGATGCATAGAATGACATGCCGATACGTGCTTAACTAGCCAAAAGAAAAGACAAGAGAGAAACAAGAGATGAAATTCGACAATATAATAATGTCGAATGAGCACAGTCAAGTTCGCGAGCATGTTCTGATTGGGTTTGAGTTGAGGGACACGGGCTTCCAGTTACACCACTTCAGTTATAGCGGGGAGCCGATATGTGACTACTGCCTGTCATAACCGGAAGTGAACTGCGATACCAAGAAAATCCATTATCATTCCCGAGAATCAGAGAGAAAACCGGCGTCGTTGTATATCGAGAGACGGGGAAGATATGCTTGGTGATGTGTTGTTGAAGTCCGCGGTTTACCGCAGATAGGCCTCTCAATGGGTATGAGCGGTACGTATCTAGCCTGTCAGCACAAGTTAGGAAGTCAGCAAATGAGATGCCGAAGTTCTTCCGGCCAGGCACACGGATGAGACCCAGGTACCCCAGGACCTCTAGTGGGGCTGTTTGTTAGGAACCGAAGCTCCAAGAAATCCAGCCGACCGCATCGTGGAGGGGCTGCATCTTGATGACCTCTCGCGCGCAACATATCTACCTATATACATATGGGCGCATATCCCCCAACGCCACGACCGACATATCATTGCTCACTATAACATGCGATAACCGAAGCCAAAAGGCTTTAGCACAGTAACCATGTCTGTGATTCTTTGCACAGGTAGGTGGCCTTCCATATCCACGTCCTTTTTTGGGACAAAAGATATTGTGACCGACCGCTGATATTTTGTAGCGGGCTACGATCACACGATCAGGTAGACCAAGACCATAAATACCCAAAATAACAATACAGTATTGGCCAACTGACACTTTTTCAACCTTAGGTTCTGGGAGGCTCTCTCCGGCATTTGCTCTCGCACAATCCAACACCCCGATTCTCAGGTCAATCGCCTCTGTATCTCCCCCGACAAGCGTTTTCTTGCTGCCGCAGGCCACCATACGGTCAAGCTCTACGACATCAAGTCGACGAACCCGAATCCGTTGCTGACATTCGAGGGTCACACGGGAAACATTACTGGCGTTGCCTTCCACTGTGAGGGCAAGTGGATGGTCACCAGCTCGGAGGATGGCACAGTCAAGATCTGGGAGACGCGCAGCGGCCAGGTTCAGCGCAGCTACAACCACGGCTGCCCCGCCAACGATGTCGTGATCCATCCAAACCAGGGTGAGATCATAAGCTGTGACCGCCAGGGCAGCGTCCGCGTCTGGGACCTAGCCGAGAACAACTGCTCTCACCAGCTGATCCCCGAGGAAGACGTCTCCGTCTCGAGCGTCACTGTCGCCAGTGATGGTTCGCTGCTGTGCGCCGCGAACAATGGCGTAAGCATGCCCTGTCGTTGAGATCACGACCCACACGGGATTCGGACTGACAAGGTACTAGGGAAACGTTTTCGTGTGGCAGCTGCTGCAAGCTTACGATCGAACACAGCTCCTTCCTGTGACTCACTTCAACGCGCACAAAGAGTACATCACGCGTATTCTGCTTTCGCCTGACGTCAAAAAGCTCGCAACCTGCAGCGCCGACCACACCGCCCGCATCTGGGAGGTAAAGGACCTTGAGCCTGCCGCCGACCAGGAGCCCAAGCCCTTTCCACTCGAGGCGACACTCACAGGCCACCAGCGCTGGGTGTGGGACTGCGCGTTCAGCGCCGATTCGGCTTACCTAGTGACGGCCTGCTCTGACCACTACGCCCGGCTCTGGGAACTCCACAGCCAGCAGATCATCCGCCAGTACAACGGCCACCACCGAGGTGCGGTCTGCGTCGCCCTCAACGACTACTCGGAGTCTACTAGGTAACGACTGTGGGTTGACGCTTGGGGTGGCATTCGTATTTGTCAATTTTCCTTGGTTCACAACAGAACCCTATTGTGCGTGTAACATTTTCATCAGTTTGGGCAATGAGGGGACTTGGGTTGGCGGGGCGTCCGGGAAAGTCGTTTGTAGCGCATTTACAGTTGGGATGCGGCCGTCTGCATTGCATATTCTTCTCAATTGACAGGCGTACCTACATGGAAATTACGTACAAAGTTGATGGTATCCCGCTGTGGGTATGGTGATCCCGCGCCCAACGCCGTAAATGCTGCAAACTCGCTCCCCGCTCGTCCACTTTACCACCCATCTCCCCAACCGTCGTCGTCATCGTCCGTATCCTTGGGCTTCATGTCTATTTTCTTTGCTACTACGGGTTTGGTTGCTGGCTTGGACGTCAGGGGCTTCTTTGCCGCCGCTGTTGAGGACTTGGCCAGCCCCTTAGGTAGAGGCTTGCTGGATCCGCTCTTCTTCTGCGACTGTGCGGCCAACCAGCCGGCGAAATCAGGCTCAGAGCCATCATCGAACGGCGTAACACTGGCGGACGTTTCCTTTTTCGCCGCAGAGGACTTTGTGCTGTCGGCTGGCTCCCCCCACGTATCGTCGTCTGCCAAATCGCCCCAGGCATCGCCCGCGTCGTCCGCGAATTCTTGGTTGAAGGCCTCCGCCACGACCGAGGAAGGTGTCCGCGATATCGGCGGCGGGGATGTGACGGCCTGCCGATGTAAAGCAGAGGCCGAGGACGTAGTGGGCCTTTTCGCGTCTGGGCCCGGTGAGGGAGTTGGCTTGGGGGAGGCGGCACCTGGGCCGTTGGATGTCTGCATCTCCCCCGCCGCTGTCGAAACCTTGTTTGTGAAGGAGGAGATGGCCCAACCGGCCCAAGACGACGCAGAAGCCTCGTTGGGCTGCGGCGTACTCATACGGGGTCCACTAGCGCCTTCGGCGCCCTGGGGAGGCAGGGCCGAGTCTGGCATGCTGGCCGCTGCCTTTCTGACTTTCTGCACATACACCTCCATGGTCTTACTGGCCTGGTCGCGGATCATCTTTTCCTTGTCTATGAGCAACGGGCACAGCGCCGGCATGATCCTGAGAGCGGCGTCTTCGTCAGAGAAACAATCCCCGGTAACACCGAGAGCCATCAGTGATGCATTGCGGGCATGCACAAAGGGATCTCGGAGGGACCTGGTAAAGGCGGCGATGAGAACCTTGCTTCTCGAAGACGTGCCAAGGTTCTTGGCGATTTTTCCAAGGCAAATTGTTGTGTTTGTCCGGATACCTGGCTGCTCGTCATTCGCCGTCTTTGCTAGATATTTGAGCAACTCCCCATTGATTGTCCGATCAGACAGCTTCGAGATGATGACGAGTACCGACTTGAGTGTCTGCTCTCGGACCACCGGGGCGACATCTGTGAAACCAGTGACTAGTTGCGGGAAAATCTTATCGTTGACAACTTTCTGTGTGAGCCGGTCTATCATCATGGGCAAGCTGTCCAGGAGACAGACGCGGATGGCTCGATCAGGGTTAGAGAAGAGCCGAATGACTACCGGCGTGATCTTAGAATCAAAATCTTCGTTAGGCAGCTTGGCTGCGATCTTCATAACGACGCCGAATGCCTTAGGTCCTCCGCCACCGAACTCGACCGATTTGATTAGTTCCGGAAGAACCTTCATTTTGAAGAAATCTTCGGGGAAATCGTCAGTCAGTTGGTCAAGGTCGCTGTCTGGGTCAGATGGTGTTGCTTATAGTGTTTTGTAGACCGAGTTACTTACTCAAGGAACTGATCCCTCTCGGCCTCGGTCTTGACACCTAGGTTTTCGATTCCCTCCGTCAACTTGATAAGTGGACTATCGAAAAAGGATCCGCTGCGCTGGCCTTGCTCCAGGAAATGGCCAACACTGACACGCGACTTAGGATTTGGGTTAACCAGACGCTTGTAGCTTTGCTGCATTGTCGGAGGGATGTTCTTCGTCTGGCCAGCTTGATCGGAGCCCATGAAGTCGCCATTGAAAACCTCAAATATCAAGCAGCCGAAGCCGAACGAGTCAACGGCGGAATGCGGGCTCTTCTTGATCGCATCCCAGCCCCCACGCGCAAGTTCTGGCGGCGCATATCGTCCCGAGTCTGGAACTAAACTACCGTATGTCTGCAGCCCAAGATTAATAACGGTCGCGCGAAGAAGACAGCGAATTCACGCACGTATATTACTGCCTCATCATCCTTGACGTTGCTCAGCACCTCAAAGCCACTCATTTTCCACTCCCCGCTCTCGGATGTGTACACAGAGCCGACTCTGAGGTTGCCATGTATCGATGATGCTTCGTCATTGATAAACTTGATTGTCCGCTGCAAGGCTGTCAGTGCCTATGTTTACTTCGTGTTCGTTTCGACATACTGCAACACTGCTCAAACCCCACTTGATTGTCTCTGGTGTAAGGCTTTTCCTCTTCACATGCCATCGCAGCGGCACAACTCGTTCGGTCGCAATGTATATGTATGTATCGGTCTGTAAAACCTTGTCAGATTATGTCTTGCCTGATCATGCACCATACATACCTCCACCGTATCCAACACCTTGATAACGCCTGGGTGGCGTAGTGTTCTCAGCTTGCGCAAAGCGTTCTTGGCCAGGGGTAGCCGAGACTTGTTGGCAGTAACGTCGAAGGAAAAGATACTACAGTTGGATCCATCTTCCTGTTCAAGTTGTCAGGTTTCGGAAGTTTGGCGGCCGCGTGCAGTGGTTGGACATACTCGTTTGGTGCCGTTATTAAGCGTCCAGATGGACTCGTCGATGTCCACCTTGTCACCGAAGCTGTAAGGGAACGGTGGCCCTTGGGCAATGGCAGAGGCAACTGCCGATTTGAGGAAGTTCATGTCGTCCGTCCAAATCCAGAAAATCTTGAGCAGCCAAAAATTCAGTCAAGCAAGAAGGCCGATCGAGTTGTTGAGAAGACGTGGAGAGGCTGCGACGTTGCAACACGCGCTGCTGGAGCTGGGCAGGGAGCTTCAGGCAATTTGGCGACAGGATAGTGGACCGTCGCCGCTGAACAGGGGCACTGGGCGTAGCTTTCCTCCAGCCCAAAAGATCCCCGCGCTAGGCTTGTTTGGATGGAGGGGTGATACGGACTGCAGATGATCCGTGGCCGACGCCTAATGTGGGCCCGGATGGTGAAATGAAGGTCCCGCGGCCAGTAGCGAAGCTGCCTAGGCAAGGATTACCGCCCCAAGGTCCTCCCAGTGGGCTCGAGCAAACCGGCTTTCATCCACTTCCACTGAACGTAACGCGAGGCCAAAGCCTCAACACCCATCGTTTGAACATTCAAGTCGCGTTCTACGTATGCGCCATTACGACAGGACAAAATCCCCTTACTTCCCTAGCATCGCTACGATATTGGATTTTAAAATCGTCTTCAGAAATCCAAGGGCCTCTCTCCTCGGATCCATGCGAAAGTGTCGTTTGTCAATAGCTGTGAAGCAAAGGGTGCGAAGGCGCGAAATCCAGCGTGGGGAAGGAGCAGATCTCAACCAGTAAGTGGGCACAAAGTCCCGTTTTCTCTCATTTCACCTAGGGAATCTCGATCCCAACGCGCAGTGATGACTATTGGTAAAAGGTCCGATCGAAAAGGATTCTTCTGGGGTTGTTGCCTCGTCTTGTTTCTCATGTATGACTTCGTTCTTCATGAACAAGCCACGCACTCGTCTCTGCAACACCTCCGCCAAGCGAAGAGTTGCGCGCTTAGTGAAGCTGTTTAGCATTACAGCCTCACACACACGACTGAGAAACGACATAAACATGCCTAGATTTGGAGTCCTGCTTCTAGTTACCCCGACGAAGTGGGACCAAAGGCTGTGGCACACATGACAGAAAAGGGCAAGACAAGGCAATAAAACCGTTGTGATCCCCAAAATGAAGACTAAAAAAGACTGAAAAGACCTGAGCGCATGCTTCATCTTCAAACTTTGATCCATTTGGACCATTCAGGCTACGTCTTTGATAACAATCTGCTAACTGTCGCCCATCAGGCATCTTGTCTCACCACTTCGTCTTCGACTTTCAAACAATGAAGTTCAACATATGCGACGCCCTTCGTACCTCTTTGTTCGGCAGTAGAGTGACATATTCACAGGAGAGCCGTGCGCCAGAAGCATCATAACCCACAGCATTTTGGCGGTGTCCTTGACCTTCGACCGCTGGACGGTCCTATCACAAGCCACTCAATCTGGATGAACTTGTTTTGGGGCTGTTCAGACAACGCATTTCACCTTCTTCGAGCTGAGGGATTCTCCCTGGCTACAGGACCTCTGTGGGCCTAGGAGGGTAACAGTAGCCTTGTCTCCCTCCAAGGATCGGTCGTCCAAAGTCCATTGAAGCTGAATCACCTTGCCAGTTGAAGAAGATTAGTGCTTCTCCTATGAGGTGCTTCCTGGCGTGGAAATGGAGTCATTTCGTCAATTTTCAGATAATTGCATTGAGGAGGGGTGCACATCTGTCGCACTGAATTCAAAATATTGTCTTTCTCACGGGAAGAAAGTGCGTCTAGGAAATAGAGATAACCAAGCCCACGCTTTCAAAGCTGTCGGTAACTCTTCTAGGTCTCGACCTGGGTCTGGATTTGGCAAGCCGGCCGTGAGGCAAGACTCACCGCAGCACTTGGCGCAGACACAAACAGAAGAACAGTCAAAAAGCGGACACTCTCGTCAATGGCGGAGGAACTCACGGGACGAGTCTGGTCTGGCTTCATCTACAAGCTCTCTGGCAACAGGCAGGAAGTCTAATCTTCTGCCAGATCTTGCCACAAGATTTGCCACAACAGCTAGAAATGCGACTTATTCGGCTGCTTCATCCAAAAGACAGACACAATTGACTGGTTCGGATTTCCACAACAATCCTACGGGCATGCACACCAGTGGATCTGGCCTGCCAACTACCCAACAACATCCTGCCTCAGGAGCCTTCAACCCCTTCCAGTCTTTTATCGCCGCAACCCACACACCGTCCCCAAACACCACCATCAAACGGTTCGTCAATATTTACCCAAACAACGACATGCCTAAGGACTATGGGGCCGTCGCCGAAAAGCGAAGCCAGCGAAGGGCTCTGGAGGGTGACGCCAGGTTGGAGACCAGCTCGCTGAATATCAACCCAGCTACCAAAACTTCTCAAGTACCCCGGTCCTCCATAACAAGACCTATTGATACTGGTACGCCTCTTACCGGCAGCTGTGATGGTCAACGGGCTTCCAGGGGTCGCATACGCGAATCCATCGCAAAAGATTCCCTCACAGCCCCCATGCCATCCGGCGGGAGCAGGAGCTTTGATTCGTTGCCCTATGTCAGGACCAACCGACTGCCGCCAATGCAGCTGAAGACTGCCCCGTCGGCTTTACGGTCAGCTTCGGCCAGCAAGCGGAAGAGGAACAGCAGTACCGCGTCGTCATCCGGACTTAGTTCGTCAGATGAGATCGGTAGAAATGAAAAGCGGGCGCTTCTGCACATGCGTGAGAGCAATACCATCTACGGCGAGGCTCGGACGACTGCAGAAGCTCCTACGACCTCTCAAAGATCTGTTGGTGTCTCCAACATCTACTCCGACGTGTCACAAACCCAAAGCCGACGGGACGGGCCAAATATGCTTCGCACACGAGTAGCGCATAGTCCCATCGTCTTGAGCTCTTCCGATAACGATACAGACGACGACGAAGATGGCATGTATAACATTGGGAATACGTCGCAGGTAACCCCTTTCAATAGGCAAAGCCACCACACTATTATACCCGCCGATGGGGCATACCTCAAGAATGCAAATCTACCATCAATCACTGGTGGGGTCGAGCACCAAAAGATGGCGCCTGACCAACAGCGAGGGAAGCCGAACTGCGAAGAGCGCCGACTCCAGTTGTGCGCAACCTTCAACTCCGCCAAGTTCGACGCAATGATATATGGACAGGCCGAAGCTACGAGCCCTCCTGAGGGGGTCTTTGTACCGGTAGCCCCGAGCAACATGTTGACGAACGCCCGATTTTCTGGAGAAGGCCGTGAGCAGCTCTACATGAGGCTCGATCCTCGTATCCATTGGCCGCACAATCGCTCTGATCATTGGTATAGAGCCAAGATGGAAGAAATCAAGTCCCGAGGTGGACGCAAAGCCAACTTTGGCAGAGCGGCCCAACGCATGAGGCAGCAGAGATTGGAGGCGGAGCGGCTCGATAAGGAAGAAAAACGTGCCGCCGAACAAGGCTTGCCAGTTCCACATAACAAGCCGCCTCAACCATGGTCGCACCATAGACCCATGGATTTTGGAGACGTTCCTGAGGAGGAGCTGCCGGCGTATGTCCGCAAGAACCCGGAATGGTTGCAGGCAACGGCGTGGATGCGAGAAAATCGCGAGAAGAACCTGCACAGGAATAAGGAAGCGGCCGCACTTCGTGCCGCCTGTCAGCCCTGTGAACATCTCTTCCCTCGGAGCGGACGCTAACCACAACCAGACGCCGAGGGTCTGATTTTGCTGCGGCCCAATGGCTGTGGGCAAGGAGGCAAGCTGCCGCCATATTAAGCATGTTATGAGCTACGAGAGACGAGAAAAGGAAGTCAAGGCACTTAGCACGGAGTTTGGTTTTGCTTTTGATCTCCTTATTCTATTATTCCCCAGCGATGATACCTGAGCCTCGCCGCGGTGGCCTGGCCTACATACATGATATTGAGTGCACACACGGGATAGAGGGAATCGTTTAGTTTACTGGCTTTTCAAATCGGAAGCAACCACGTGTTTACCGGCAGCAAACCTGGTTACTAGTCATAGAATTTCTAGAAATTAATACTGTCGTCATCTCCAACACACTACGGCTTGCGAATGCTTAAACCCACAACTTGAGTGGTTGGGATGCCCACAACGCAGGTCCTTGTGGAAGAAGCTCCAATGGGCGCAAATGAGAATATAGCTCAATTATGATTTCCTAGTTAGCATTGAGCGGCGGATTTTTTAGGGTGTTCTGGTGGCAAAAGAGCATGGAGGAATCTTTAAATCTGTGACAAAACGGTACCCTTAGAGCCCAGCAGGTGACGCATTTTCCTGGTCGTTCGCTGGCAGGCACTAATATTGAGTGATCCACCAGCTTGGCCCGCAGCGCTGTCAGACAACCTCACTTTTGCTTTCCAGGCACGGCTTCGCACGACCGCCAACCCAGTTACAGCAACAAGCCACTCCGCCAACGAAAAGTTGTCGACCCAGACAATTGAATCCAACTGTCAATTATATAAAAAACGCCGGAAACCCCCTCATTATGGCCGCCTCTCAGCTTCCCCTCGATACTCTATCCACTTGGGCCATGTTCAACGACGTAGACCTTGTCGACGTCGAGGTGCGCGAGATCCCCGGCTGCGGCCTCGGATTGGTCTCGAATAAGGATCTCAGCCGCGAGGAGGAGACGTTCGACATGCCGACTCTGCTGAGGGTTCCCCATGAGCTGATCCTATCTGCAGAGGCTGTCGAAAACTACGCCAAGGTCGACAAGAACTTTCGTCAACTGCTAGATGTTGCTGGACATAAGGTAGATGTGGCCCTTCGCTCCAGCTTTTGATCGCCTCCGGCACTGACCTATGGAAAAGTCGACCCGGCATGACATCTGCGTTTTTCTGCTTACACAGAAAATCATCGCTGACCGGCCGGAGACGTCCTTGCATGGCGGCGTGCCGACGCCTTGGACCGAGTACATCAAATATCTGCCACCGCAGGTGCCTGTCACGACACTTTGGACCGTGCAAGAGCGGCAAATGCTGAATGGAACATCGCTTGAAGTAAGTCTCTCGTTTCCATGCTTTTCTTCGGCAGACGAGCAGAGCCTCTCCTAGAAGCGCTATCGCGTCGCCGATCGGTCAGTCGGGTGCGCTCCTTCAGTTCGCAAACCTCTACGCAACGACACTTTACATCACATCACAAATTCCCTGTCAATGGGGAGTGGCCAACGCACCCGCCCATTAGCGCGCTTAATTTCCAATCAAAGGAATTTTATTCCACCAGTCAAGAAGTTTGCGGCTGAAGGGAGGCGACCCGGCGTGCCAAAGGCACAATGGCAGCGGTTCCCGTACAAGGGTCACTTTCTGATGGACAATAGTCTGCCACGGCTGCTAAGATCGTTGCACTTACCGATGAGTTTGACGAGCTCCGCGAGGTATCTTCCTCACTGCCCTTATGGAACGAACTGTTTTGGGAAAGCGGCAAGATCTCCCTCATCGATTGGGTTCGGGTCGATGCATGGTTTCGCTCCCGATGTCTGGAGCTTCCCAAGTCGGGCGAGGCCATGGTTCCGGTGCTGGACTTGGCAAATCACTCATCCAAGGCCAATGCATATTATGAAGAAAACAGCAAGGACGAGGTGGTTCTGCTCCTGCGACCTGGCTGCAGGGTCTCGTCCGGGGAAGAGATGACAATCTCGTATGGGGATGCAAAATCCGGAGCCGAGATGCTATTCAGCTACGGGTTCATCGACCCCGCGTCAGCTGCGGACCGTATCACGCTACCATTAACGCCTCTAGAAGACGACCCGCTAGGTAAGGCGAAACTGCACATCTTCGAGGGACCCCCGACTGTGGAGTTTGTCCGGACGAATCACTCCGTTAGTTGGGAAAGTCCCTTTGCCTATTTAATGTGCCTCAACGAGGAAGACGGTCTGTCGTTTCGTATCCTGCAGGACACCGGAGGATCACGGGAGCTGAAGCTGTTCTGGCAAGAAGAGGATGTAACAACGACGACAACGGGTTTCGGTCAACACATTGGCGATCATCCACTTGCTCAAATCTTTCGTCTTCGGGTGGTAACCGTCTTGCAGGATATAGTGACCAACCAGTTGGAACGGTTGGCTACGGGCATGTCATTGGAGGACTTGGACGAGTCACTGAACGAAGGGGGTCTCGTTTGCGGGGCGTGCATCGACGCAGCTGCCACGCTGAGGGAGCAAGAGGCTAGGTTGCTGGAAGCTGCCGTGAAGGCTCTCGAAGACCAAGTAAGTTTATTCTTATCCAGCGCCTTGTCTCTGTCAGCGTCAGGGTTGCAGTCAAATCTCACGATTGTCTGCTCATTTCCTTCTTCAACCGCTTTGCTGCTCAAGGCCCCTGCATTCTTTCTGGATTCCTTCTGCGTCCTTGTCCCAAGTGGCTGCCTATTTCCCCGCACATAGTACCAAGGCTAACAAGGATGGGCGATGTGGCCCAACCTTGCAGAAAACACAACTTCTTGCAGATGAAAGCGTGGTGGCTTATCTCGGATCGATGGAAGATACCCAAAACGATTTAGCCGAAGGCGAGGTATCCAATGACGAGGAAGACTTCAGTTAGAGAGGGAAGGTCAAGAAAGGCCATACAGTCGGGTCGATTCATTCAGCTCACTTTGACGCGGAGTCTAAGCAGATTTCTTGACTCACCTCCACAGAGTTTGCCGTTGTGAAGTATATTGGTTGAGACTAGCGAAGGTCACATCACGGAGCTACACATGTGTCCTTGCTCTGGATCATTAAAAGCTTGCAAAACTTTTTCCAGTTAGGTTGTTGTGCCCCTCCGGCATGTTTTCAGCTAGCAGTGTCTTTCCCGTGGAGGAAGTGAAATACGGATGAGCGAGGCCAGCGACAAATCTTTGGTTGTCTCGCGTGGGGCGTTGAATACATGTCGATTCATCTTCTCAGGCTCACTCAAAGCCATTCACTGTCGATAACTGGTGACTATCTTATTTCGACTCCCTCATCGAAATGCTCTTGGCCAGGAGCCATACGTCTCAATAGGGCTCAGACATGTTCTCGGTGGTCGGCAGCCTGGTGGTCGGCAGCCTCGTGGCCGTACCTACATGCAACGGAGATCGACATAGCTTGGCCGCCTTAGGAACGGAGCTTTGATGTAAAATTGAAGTGTCGATCGATACGCAGGAGAACAACATCTGCGGTAGGATGGTAACATTTCGGGCTGAACTGGGGCCCTGCAAGAGTAACAATCAACAGCTACAGCCTGTTTTCAGTTAAGGACCGGCGGGGGATGGCATGCCGAGTAGCGGGTGATCCGCGCTGTGCGGTACACCAAGCCTCCTGGACCCTGCCAAAGGAAGGAGAGCAGATGGAAAAAGCAGGACGAGCCGGGAGGCGTCGTGAAAAAAAGGGGGGAACCTCGCCCTGTCCTTGCATGGAGAGAGCACTCACGACGAAGCGCGGTAGGCAAATTCGCATGATAACCAAGACCTCTACACAATAGCTTGTCGTCCCTGAGGTTTCCGAGCCTGCATCTCAACGGAGACGTGTTGGAAAGGACACTTACCCCGGGCGTCCGGAAGGAGAAGCTGCAGGATGTGTATCCGCCTTGCAACCTGCGTCTGTGGATCGCCAACAGTGGGGACTAGGGACAAGGGTTGCGGGAGAGGAGGACGTCGTCTTTTCATCGGCCAAGCGATTTTGGGTCAGCGTAAGCGCATATGAGGTGTGCCACCCCCCAACCAATACTGGAAACCATGTGTCTTCAGCTTTTTATTGCTGTGTCCGCACCATGAAGCTTCTGACACGACAGGAATGTTCATTCCATCTAATTCGTACAAGGCAGGGAAAAGGCCTCTTTTGACCTTTGAAAGATACCCATTTCCCGGGCTGAGATAGTTCAAGTTGGCGAGGCAAGTCTGTTCTCCAAGAGGGACCGAAAGGAACCGGAAGAACGAGACGGGGAGAGTTTCGACGCCAACGGAGAGCACGCTAGCACGACAAGAGCCTGGAGGTGATGCCAGAGGTGCATGCGCGAGCCACCCGGAATGTTGACCTTACCGTTCAGCCGAAGCCGGTTGGTTCGAAGGGGAAGAGCGGAGAAGGGGGGTTTTGAGAAAGAACTTGCGTTGCACAGAAACCTAGCTTTGTTTTCTCGACCACCTTTACCAGACAGCATAGGTATTGTAGGTTGTGGTATGGCTGCTCTTCGACAGATGCCGGTTTCCAAGGTCTTTCCTCATTGCATCACCAAGGCGTCACCGGGCCAGAATAGTATGAGCTCTTGTTGAGCGATCTCGCGCATCCTGAAAGCTTGACAGGCTGCCCTCGCCCTCAGTGAGCGGCTGGATTCTGAGTGGGTGGACCATCACCAACAGCATTACACCGCTTGCAAACCTGGGTTGGATCCTTGGAGTGCAAGTCTCAGGTCTATTGGACGAGGGTAGAGGGCGGCCACTGAGGAGTCGAAGGCTTGGGAGATGTAATCCAAGCGGGCACTCTCGGTGGAGAAAGGCGCTGAAGAGGAACCCGGGGATGGGATTGCGTGGGCCAAGCAGCTTGGTCAGACGACGACGACGATTGGCCACCGGTGACAAAGCAGCGATCGTTGACCGATCCGGCATATCACCAAATGGGTCCCCGGCACTAGTGTAACGGTACGAAGCTCTTATCCCATGTCGGCCCCCTGCCCCGGATTTTCCCCAGTTCTATCTATGCAATGCTTGGGGCCCCCTTTTCCCCAGGTCCCAATGCTCCAGTTTACAGTTCCTGTTCTTGCCGAAACAAAATTTAGACTTGCTGGTCCGTTGCTCCGCACTTTTTATTTTTCTGCTCCCGAGGTGTGCCGTGTCATGCATGTAAACGTAAACCACTTTCCGTGGCCGGTGAAAACCTGGGGAAAACGGGGGTGATCGGAAGGATGGGTTTGGATGACAAGGGGGGCGGTACTTGTGCTGACTGGGCTTCATCATATTGACGGCGTCGCGACAACAGCCGACAGAAATAGGCTCCCGGGGGGTGGGGTCATTTTGAAAGGCCTAGGGCCTAGAGCCTCCTGTTGAAGCACGATGCATGGAGAGTGAGTTTGAAAAACAGTCTTGGATGAACCGGAGAGATACGAACCCCCGCTTCCGGGGTCGAGTGGTCTCATGGCTGCGTTTGCTGGACGGCTTCCTAGGGTTTGAGCTGGGTTGCATCATTTGGGGAGGGGCGGCGCCGGCGGGCTGGAAAGGCCATGTTGGGGCCTGCATCGAGAAGATACCCTATGACACGCGGATTCTAGTTTGGTGCTCTGGAGAAAATGCCGGCTGGACAAGAGATGGCGAGCCACGTCGACAGACAATAACATGATGGCGGGAGTGGCGTGTGGTGTGCTTCTGCGCTGCTTCTGGCGCGTGTAGCGCAACTGTACTTATACTACCTATCCGCGGACTAGTATCACACATACCTACACTGCCGGGAATCGAGGGTGGAGCTCAGCAGTACACCTATCTACTACCTAGGTACCTTCCAGCCTCAGTAACAATTGCCAGACAGCAATTGGCTCCCCTCACTTCCACTAGCGTTCTTCTGCTGCCCACCCCAACGTTCTCCCAACGTTCAGAACCCGCGTCGCTCGGCAGACCCCAGGCAGCGGCGCAGCGCATCTCTTCCCCCAGATTTCCCCTTCCTTGGCCTCCCCGCCCGCGGTGGAGGGCGGGAGCTCTTTCTCTGAGCAAGTGCGTGCGAGTTCATGGTTGCAGTACGCAGCACAGTGAGCAAAAAGCAATGAGCAGAGTACGAGTGCTGTGCCGGGAGCTGTGCTAGTGCCAGTCTCGGGTCTTGTTCCGGTTCCGGTTCCGCTCCATCCCGATGAACGTACGGATACCTAGAGCAATAACTCCCAGTATGGCCTTAATAGTGCAGCTGACTCTTCTACTATGGCCGGTGCAGGCATTCGCCATCCTCGTTTCCCCGAGGGAATGAGTCGCTGTCCCCTAACTTTCCAGACATGCCCCCCCATACATCCCGGTCCCGCCCTCCCGTTCACGGGTCTTTCTGCTCCAGACCCTCTCCCCACGACACTGCAGGCAGACAGGCTTTAGTGTGCGGTCCAGTGTCCGTGGCCGTTTCCCCCACTAGGCACTAAGATACTCCACAGTCGCGCATCCTTCCCCACGACCACCTTCCTCTTCTTCTCTTCCTTTTTCCCTCACACACCCCCCCGACTCCGACCCAACATCTTCAGTTCTTCTTCCTTCAGCTTCACGTGTTCACTGTGCTCTGCCCGCCCGCCGCTTCCGAGTTGCAGACGGAAAACCTCCACCCCCCCTTTCTGTGTTGTATCTTTGCTTTTTGTGTCTGGGAAGACTGGTGTTCTCGCGGACCTACTTTCTTCTTTCTTAGTAACCAAAGATACCATCTACCTGCAAACCCTGCGACCACGATATTTACGAAACAACTGGGTGATTTTTTGAGGAGGGAACGTGATCTGTATGCGAATGGCTGATACCTCGTCCACCGCCCAACACAGCTGAACGAGCCCACGCGACGAACGATACCACCAAAAGAAAACCCCCCACCTGTCGAAGCCCCCGAGGCTGAACCAGTAGACGCCTACCCTCTCTTTCGACGCCACAAACCCTCAAAGCCACCAAACATAGATCGCCAATTTCGTAACGAGGTGGGACGCCATCATGCCTGGAATCCTGCCCATGAAGGTGATCAAGGTGGGCACCAGCTCCCAGAGCCGCATAGCCCAAGCCTGCGACCGATGCCGGAGCAAGAAGATCCGCTGCGACGGCATCAGGCCGACCTGTTCGCAATGCGCCAATGTTGGCTTCGAATGCCGTACGAGCGACAAACTCAGCCGTCGCGCCTTCCCCCGGGGCTACACCGAGTCTCTCGAAGAGCGCGTGCGCCAGCTTGAGAACGAAGTCAGGGAACTGAAAGACCTGCTGGATGAGAAGGATGAGAAGATCGACATGCTGTCGAGGATGCACGGAAATCACAGCCATGCGATCCATCGCAGCCCTTCCATCGCCGTGTCAGCGCATTCGCCGGCGTCTGCCGCCGACGCCAAAAGGGATGCCGCGACCCCGGCTAAGGAGGACACTTTCCGCGTGCAGGCGTCGCCGTTGTTGCTTGGCGTTGAGAATTCAGATTCATACTTTATGGGGCCGTCGAGCGGCCGTGCCTTTATCGGTTCGTGCCACTACTGCTGTCATCCCGTGCGCGGTGGCCCCCATCTCGCCCGAGTCGCGCGGTCTGAGCGAGGTTGAATTTTGCTAACATGGGATAACAGAAGCGTTTAAGCGCAAGATGCAAGAAAACGGTAAATCTTGCTCGGACTTCAACCCGGAAGCTTTTTTGCACATCCAGGGCTGTCATCCTCTTACGTCAAAATCGCCCGACAAGTCTCTGAAGGTGCCGCCGCGTCTGTTTTCAGACCGATGCGTCAACGTTTACTTCCAAGAATGGGCGCCCTTGTTCCCCGTCTTGCACAAGCCGACGTTCCTCCATGTATATGAGGAATTCGTCTCTGGCCCGGAAAAGGTCAGGAATAACCACAAAATCGCCCAGCTGTATCTGGTCTTTGGTATTGCGGCGCTGGGTAGCGACCAGCCCGACCTCGAGCAGGTTGCCGCCTGCGAACAGCAATGGCAGCGAGCTGTTGAGGCCGTCCTCATGGATAACACCATGATCACCCTGCAGTGTCTCGAGCTGGCCCTCCTTTACTGCATCGTAAGAGCGGATTACAAGCGCCTCCAGCACTACAAGGGCATCGCGGTGGGCTTGTCTCACCGCTTGGGGCTGCACCAGAGCCAGAAGCGCTTCTCCTTTGGCGCGCTCACTATCGAGACCCGCAAGAAGGTCTTTTGGACGCTCTACACCCTGGACTGGTAAGTCCCATAATCCTCATTGAGAAACCCTGACCAACAACCGTAGCTTCTCTGGTGCTATTCTAGGCCTGCCAAAACTGCTCAAGGAAGATGAAATCCACACTGAGTATCCCTCGGATACCGACGACGAGTATGTGACTGAGAAGGGCTTCCAACCAACTCTCCCCGGCGAGTACACTCGTCTTTCGAGCGCCCTGGCGCTTTTCCGTTGTTGCCGGATACTTGCCAAGGTCATGGAAAGGAACTATCCAGCCGCTACGTCTCACGAGCTGTCGCTGCAGCAAATGTCCGCCATGGAGGCCGAGCTCGACGAGTGGTGCGAATCTCTGCCCACTCATCTCAAACTCACCTTCAAGCAAGACAAACCTTCGACAGACATTACTGGAAGCCGATCCCCATTGCTTGCGCTTGCGTATTATTACATCAAGACGCTCATCTTTCGTCCTGCGGTCGGCTCCTCGCTTGGCCATAAAGCGGCACCCGCGCTGATGGCGATTGCCGAATCCGCGAAGCGCATTGTCCAGATCATTCAGTTGTTGGAGGAACGCAACATGACCTATTCCTTCTGCCTCAATAAGACAGATACCCTGGTGCTCTGCGGCATCACTCTTCTCTATCAGAGTTTCGAGTTGAAGCAGGACAGTAGGATGCTGAAGGACACAGAGCGGCTGGTCAACAGTGTCGTCCAGATTCTCACCAAAGCGAAGGCCTCAGGGTCTTTCGATCTTACGCGCGTAGCGGGCATGCTCGTTCGACTCGACGAGGCTAACCTACCCACTATGCCGCAGCAGAGCCCCGAAGCGTCCATGCCCGCGCCGCAGCGGTCATCGCCGCCCGCGTCAGCGCCCAAGAAGAAGTCACTTCAACAAACTCTCGGTCGCTTGCCAAGTGCCGCTATTAGCGAAAACAACCTGATCCAGCAGCAGGAGAAGATGCGCCGCATGACCATGCCCAACATCCATGAGCGTCCAGAGCTGTACCGGTCCCGCTCAAAGCCGTCGTCTGACAACCTGCAACAGAAAAGCATGGCCGCCCGCCGCGAGCAGCGGCTTTCCATGTCTCGGATCTCCAATCATACCAGCACGACGTCAAAGCAGAATCTGGACTATTTGTCCCTCAGCAGCACATCCAACGACTCTTCTCCATCACCGCCAACCCCGGCGCGTCTACACCGCCACATGCTGACCACAACACACCAGAACCTCTACGCTCAACATCAGCAGCAACAGCAACGTCAACAGCAACCGCAGAAGGTCTCGGGTGTGTCTTCATCAGAATGGGAAGCGCTTTTGGGCTCTATGGACGGCGGGCTGAACAACGTCTATGACGCCATCTACGGTGGCGCAGCCAGTAGCCTGCCAGTCGTTGGCGGAACGCCAGCTTCGTCAACAGGACTGGACAGCTGGAGCCCCAACTCATGGGATCTGGCCAATTTCAATCTAGGGGAGTTTGACACGAACCCGGCACCGCCGCAGAGTGTGCTGAGCGTTAGCGAGGAAAGCCTCAGCTCCGGAGAGGACCTGACGAGCGATTTGAACCTCAGCGTAAGCAGCCTGGAGTACCGGAACGCGCTGCTCGCATCGTGCAGTGCGAACAGTGACGGGCTATTTCTTGATGGGCTAGATGGAAACTATGGATTGTGAGATTAGCATTGACAGCGAGAGGCTTTGGCATCGAACCTCGAAGTTGGGATTCTGTTTTTTTATTTTATTCTTATCCTTTTTTTATTTTTAGCGGCAGACCCCTTGAGAAGGTCGGGATGGGGATGTGTTGAGAACAGGCTCTCTTTTGGCTTGTCAAGGACAAAAATTTGGCTTCGATTTGATGATCTGAAGTGGGATTTGGACAAATAATTCTTTTTATTATGAATTCTCAAACATTTTGATCTTCGACTTTCGTCTTCTACCTAATTCACGACCTGCCAAATGCTCGGGTGTTGCTGCCGTGGGGGAGCAATGTCACGTAACCCACGACACCTAATCCAGCCCCGCGTTATCCACGTCATCGTACATGATGAGAAAACCCCTTGCGTGTATGATATACACCGAACCTATCTGCGTTGACTTGATGATCTATCGCTTTGCACCTCCCACTGAGGGAAGCCTCGCCCATGTCCACGTTTTTCTATTATGGCATCTGTGTCTTGTGAGTCCTCGTTAGCCCACCCTTCGCAGAAGCGTCGGCGCACGGTTTCGTGGCCTCGTGCAGTCCAGAAACGAGCGTTCTCATGTCTTGCATGTTTGCAATCTTAGTCTTGGTTCTTCTCGTCTTCGGCGAGTCTGGGAGCTGTCAAAACGGGTGCACTGCGACGTGCGAGCCTGGAAGCGTCCGCCCCCCCGCCTTCATCCTCGTTTTCGACACTGGACATCACAGCCTCAACGCCTTGGCCGTCTTCGGTCCCGGCCCGACGAAGCCGAACCGCGCGACGATCATCAACACCGGCGTGAACAGCAGCACGAGGACCTGTATGGCGGCGACGTTGAGGTGGAGCCTTAGCGTCCGCCTCCACGTGCCGTTGCGGACGTGGCCCGCCCTCCTGGCCGCGCGCGCCGCGGGGTCCTCACCCGTGGCCTTGAGCGCGACTGTCCTTTCGTCGTCGTCGTCGCCCTTCCAGCGCCGGCACACCTCGAGGAACAGCTCCGGATCGTCAGTGATGACGCCATCCACCCCGGCGCGGATGCTCCACTCCATCCACTCCTCGTCGTTGACGGTCCAGGCGAAGAGCCGCCTGTCGGCCCTCTGGACGTCCCTGATGAAGCGCTGCCCCACGGGCCCGACGAGCGCCTTCTGGAACATGTTGAAGGACAGGTTCGGCTGCGAGGCGGAGAGGAACTCGCGGGCGTAGATCGGGGACCAGGAGATGAGGGCGAGGGGGTAGGCAGGCAGAATGGTGCGGACGTGCGTTATATAGGGTTGCTTAGGGCGTTGTCAGCCTTTTCTTCGATTGCCCGAGTCGTTTAGGAAGGGACTTACATTCCAGCATCCGAACATTATCCTCTTCTCCCAAGGCACGGGGCCCGGTGTCGATTCCAGGACCTTTGCTACGCGGCCGAGCAGCTCCGCCGGCGGGTCGTCGGTCTGTTCACTCACGATATCAGCACCCGCCCTTCCTCGACGTCAAGTCAATCTCCACCAGCTCCCAAAGGAACTCGTCAGCGCACACTCGTTCGTACCTTGATGTCCAACAGCACCCATGCCCCTTCCCTCCCCGCCCCCTTCTCCGCCAGGAGAACCAGCAAGTCCTCCAGCCGCGGCATCGTCTCTCCCGGCGCCATCACCGTCCGCAGCGTCTCCAAGTACGCCCAGTCGCATTCGTTTATCTTCTTGTCGACGCCGAAGCACCGCTTCAAGTTCCCGTCGTGCGAAAGCACCACGACGCCGTCCCGGGACAGGTGCAGGTCCGTCTCAAGCGCGTGAGCGCCGGCGTCGAGGGCGCCGCGGAAGGCGAGAAGAGTGTTTTCCGGGTACAGGGACTTGAAGCCGCGGTGGGCGATGGCTTGCGGGAGGCGAAGGCGGGCAGGGGCGGAGGCAGACGACTGGGACCGGGACGAGGCGAAGGTCGCTGTACAGGGTTTGCGTGTTAGCTTTGGCACTGCGGAAAGGGAGGGGGGGATGAGGCGAGCGCATGTGTGACGGCGCGGGGCGGCGGAATACCTGACGGGACAGACGACCCTTCCCCGAGGAGAGGTTTCGTTTCTAAGGTCATGGCTTCCATGCCGCTGCTTCACTGGTCACGGTTTTCTTTGCGATCCAACAGGCGTAGCGATCCGGAACGGAGGGGGGGTTTCTATCAAGACACGTCGCAAGATGCGATGTAACGATGGTAGCGGCCGGCGCCACCTAGGTGTTTAAGCTGGAGCAAGGTCCGGCGGCGAGAAACATGGATCCAAGGTGGGGGGAAAACGTTTTGCACAACATAAAAAACAATGGCAAAAAGAGAATCCTTGGTAGGTTGCAGAGCCGTAAGGGAAAGACTGACACAGCACCTGCTGCCTCGGTCAGACTCGGGCTCGTAGCCCGTGGTTGCGCGCGGTCGCGGGATGATTCAATGGCCGGCGGCGGGGGAGGCGTGGGGTGCGCGCGCGCAAAGGGACGGTTTGAATGGATGGGAACGACGAATGCAACAACGACAACGACGACGACATGCCGGCTACCACAGAACCCCCACGTGCAGAAGCCAATCCGCCGGAATGGAGCCAGCCCCGCGCCGGCGGTACGGGCCACGCAGCCTAAAGTCCGACCCCGCCGTGGGCGGTACTCTGCAGTAGCGCACTTGCGGCCGCACCCCCCCACTGTGGACTTTTTCAAAAACACCCGAAGGGGGGCGGTTAAGCTGGATCAAGTGACGAGAACACCCTCAATACGTGCTTGGTTCAATTCTTGACTGGTCTGCTTTCTCGCAGGAAACGCTCCGCTTATACCGCGGAATAATCGTGTCTTAAATCTACAGCTCATTGCGCTCGGAGAGAGGAAAATAAAAAACCTCGCGGTGTCTATGTAGGCCGCCCATTCCCTGCCCCTCTCTTATAGCAATATAGTGAACGACCCAAGCCCAGCGACCACGGGCTGCCGTACGGATGAATCCCTGTTGGTACCCCCTTAATCAATGTCGACGTCGATATCGAGGTCCAAAGCTCCGATAATGTCATCGTCCATGAGGGGCTTGTGAATAGTTGGGATGCCCTTCGTCTCCTGCTTCGCGGCCTGCAGCTTGGCCAGGTTTGGCAGCCAGTTCTTCTCCTGAGCCCCTAGCTTTGGGGTTCCGTTCCCGGGCGTGCTTGCGTTGCTGTCCTTGCCCGACGGCTTCTTAATGGCGTCGTTGGCATCGTGGATGAACTTTGCCTTGGTCCGTAGTCGCCGTGAGAGATCGTTCTTGATGTCCTCGCCCCTCTCCAACGCAGCTTCCAGCTTGCGCGCCTCGGCCTTCTCCTTGAGCTGCGCCCTCCGGACGTTCTCGGCGTTCTCGAGCCGGCGCTGTCGGTTGATGTTGGCCAGGCGGTCCTGCTGCGACGTCGTGCTCGGCTTGGACGAGGTGTCGCTGAGGCTCGTCTTGAACGCAAGCACGTTCGTCTTGAGGTCGTCAAGCTGTTCCTGTAGTTCCTCCGCCTTGCTGGTGTTGCCCTTGAGCCGCGCAACTTCGATCTCTTGAGCGAGGCGCTCGCGGACCTTGGGGTCGAACTTTTTGCGCAGGGCATTCTTGCGCTGGATACGCTCGTCGATTTCCGTCGTGGTGAGGTGATGATTGATGAGCGCGTTGATGTCGTCAATCTTGTTGAGAAGGGTTTGTTTCTTGGGGAGAGTGAGTCCCTCGGACTGTATGACCTTTTCGTATCGGTTGTACTCGCGCTACTCATGTTAATCCAACGAAGCTACAGCCGGGGGACGGGGGGGCATACCTCAGTAAATGGCCGATCCGACAAGAAAATGAAAGGGAATGGCCTCTCAGCCTTGCCATGTGCTGCCAAGACGTACTGGTCAGTGACAAAAGCGCCACCGGGACCGGTCATCGCATATGGTTTGCCAACGGTGATGGCTGGAAGCGGTCAGAATCTGTTCGTCATACAACACGGAACCGCCGAACTCACCCTGGATGCGCGCCATACGGTATTCGTCCTGGCCGGACTTGGGATCAGGGCCAATACTAATGCGAACATAGCAACCCACGATGGCTTCCTCGAAACCCGGGTTGAAGCAGTACTCAGCGAAGCGACTCTTTCCGACGCGGACACGCTCGAAATCGCGGATATCGGGTGGCGGCAGCTCGCGAGAGACAATCTCCTCATCTGGCGATCGCGACTTGCGATGGCGACGGCGGTCGCGTTCCTCCCAGTCACCTCCCTCATCACTGTCCTGGTCCCTGTAATCATCGTGCGGCGAGCGCGTTCCCTTCTGGCGGTCCTCCTCGCGACGACGGGCGCGGTCGCTCTTCTCCGCGCGTGCACGACGCAGCGTATCTATCGCAGACGTCTTGCCGTCGGTGCGCGGTCGCGAGTTCTTGCGTGAGGCGTCCTCAAGGTCGGCGGCATCGGCACTGCGCTTCTTCAACTTTTGCTTCTTCTCCTCGTTCTCCTGCTTGCTGACCAGCTGGCGCAGCATGCGGTTCTGTCGGTGACGTTCTATCTCAGCCTGACGCTCCGCGAGCAGCGATTCTCTCTCGACCTCGCGCATGGCCATGACCTGTCCTTTCTCGGCAAGACTCCTGAACATGCCATCGACAGGGTACTTGTCTTCTTCGTCATCGTCGTGTCCAGCTCTCTGCGGCTCACCTTCCGAGTCCGACTCGTCCATTGCGGCAGATCCGATCGAGTTGGGGCTACCGGGTGCTGACGAGCTAAGTCGCATTGTGTTAGCGGTGCGGATTGCAGAGACAGGTAGTTATTGAGAGTAAGAAAGCGCGCGCGCAAGTTGTTGAAGCGGCGTGAAATAAAAAGGTTAGGCCTGGCCTCGAGTACGTGGGAGTGAGGGCGAAGTTCGAGAATGCGCCTGTGCGGATTTGCAAAAAAAGAGAGGCACTTACGCCTCTCCCTCCTCCTCTGAGTCGTTTCCACCCACACGCTTCTTCACCTTTGCCACAGAGGATTTCGCGGCTGCCTTGGGCGGGGGTGATGCCGATTGCGCTCTGCTCTCGGCCTCCGACATCACCTCCTCCTCCTCCTCATCGGAGGACTCCCCACCACCAGCAAGAGCCAAGAGCTCATCATCAATGTCAGCCATGGTGGAGTCCAGATGGCTGAAGCAGTCGTGTAAAGACTCCTCAGTTGCCTGCGACTGGTAAATCGGGGGGTTCGCCACGGGTCGTTCGTTTATGTGATTGGCTATCGATATGGGAATTAGATACCAGTTGCTTAGAATTGCGCAGAAAACCAAGGCGCCGTCCCAGTCAGTATAATAGAATGGATAGTCGGGCAAAAGTGAATGGTGATGATCCAGTAGGTTGGAATAAGAACCTGAAAGTCTGGCTCCTATTCACAGCCTTTGGACATTGGCGTCGCAAGCGCGTGCATGATTGGCTGAACTTATGTCATTCAGCTGCACCAGGGTGGGTCGTCGGAGCGTCGGGCTGAGCTCATCCGATCCGGCATGATGTCAGCCAATCAGCATACAGAAAAGGTACCCCATCCACCAGGGTCTGGTCGTTCGATATCATTGACACCATCATTTATCTTCGGCTAAGTTCGAGCTACCTACTTTCAAACAACAGAATGGCAGCGACACGATCTTTGTTGAGGCCTTGCAGCGGCATCGCCAGGCTCGGTGCGCGCAACCCGCTTGCGCCGGTCATTTGCATTTCATGTAGACAGTTTTCTACTTCACTCAACAATCCGCAGGCCGAAGCGACAAGCGCAGTAGCGCCTCCTCGTCGCAAACCCTTGACGAAGGAGCAGCGGGATTTCCTTTCTTCTGCGGTACGCACAAACAATACACTCGCACATCCTATATGTACTAAAATATGACCAGTTACGTGTCAATCAAGCCGGAGAACTGGCCGCGACCCGAATCTACACAGCCCAGACCCCTCCGATTGTAAACCGGCATCCGCACCTTCGACCGCTGATGGCACACATGTATGAGCAAGAGGAGGGTCACCTCAAAACATTTAATTCGCTTGTTCACAAGCATCGTGTACGGCCTACTGCGCTCTATCCCGTGTGGCAGCTCTTATCGACCGGTTTGGGCTGGAGCACGGCAGTTATGGGAAGGGAGGCGGCAATGGCTTGTACAGAGGCCGTTGAGACGGAAATTGGTGATCACTACAACAACCAGATTCGGACTCTGCTCGAGATGGTCAGCGAGTGGGAGGCTGAGGGTTACGAGGTTGGGCCGGAATTCACCAATCTGATCAAGACGCTGCGGCGCATTCGAGACGAAGAGCTAGAACACCTTGACCACGCCATCGAGCATGACGCCAAGAAGGCAGCGCCCCACTGGCTGCTAACCGGTATCATCCGAGCAGGGTGCAGAGGCGCCATCTGGGTGAGCGAAAAGATATAATAATGGCTGTCGTGTAAGACTGTGTATAGTACATGTAAAAACAAAGGCCGAAGCCACACGGATAGAAACAATGCAACGAAAGAACCCTGTGATACCAAAAAGCCACCTTCTGGCGCCATCCGCTGTATAGATGTTTCTTACGATGATTCAGCCGTACAGAGAGGTTTTGTTCATCAAATCCATGAGACCATCCTCGACTTTGGATAACGCCTAGTTGCTGAAGTGGCTGTTAGTCTGAGATCGCGAATGGGTAGGAATGAGCTCTTACTAAATTTGCAGGGGAGCAACACCATCCACCTGGAAACCCCAGTTACCGTTTTGCTCTTCAGTGAGTAACCAGTCATAGGGAAAGTTGACGACGTGTCCCTGGATCATGCTGAGCAGCTCCTCCGCCTCACCTCTCCCCAGCACCTCTTCGGGCGGCATGCCGCGTCGGCTGCCCTTAGTAGTGGCCCTTCTGCGGCGTCTAACCGATCCTTGAGTTTGCTGAGCTGGAATGCTCACGTCCCTAGAAGGCACCTTCTCCAGAGGGGAGAATGTTGTCCTTCGTTCCCTACTCTTGTCCCGCGCTGGTTCAAGCATGCTGGCATCTGCAGTAGGGCCTGTCTCAAATGCAGGGAACGGAACGTCCCCGGCGGGGAGAACAGGCGACGGAGCATCTGATGGACGGGGAGAAGTAGTCGCCCTCTCTGCGTCCGTGTTGGGCCCAGCTCTCGAACCGGGTTGTTCGCTCTTCTCATTCAACTCATCGTCGTCTCTGGGGATGATAATCCGAGGATGGTTCGAGTGATTGGTCTTGATGTGAAGCTTCTCCTGCATCTTCTCGGTGGCGGCGTTAGCAATGGCACCAGGGCCAGGCGCCCCAATGCCAGAACCTCCACCCGTAACGGGAGATTGGTGACGGTTCAGGTTGGGTTCTCCATCGTCGGTCTTCGTTTTCCCTTCCATGCTCTCTCTGAATCGCTCCGAATAAGATACAGCCTCTCGGTAGTCGGGCCACGTGAGTACTTCCGAATCAGGCATGCATCGGAAGACGCGACGGTACAGCTTAGTGTTGTTTTCCGCCACTCTATTCCAAATATCATCAAAGAAAGAAGAGTTGATCGGGTCGCGCATGCAGTCCTTATCGATATGTGCGGGCCTGATATCGGCAGCCAGAGGATGCAACGGCCCGTTGGTTGGCTGGCCGCTTTGATCCAAGTGAACAGGAGGGCCGCCAATATCCGTGTCGTCCACAACAGGCAAAGTGGGCAGCCCTGCGATCCGAGGCAGACCGAGCTGGTCGGTAGTCCGTCTGTTGAGTGCCGGAACGGGCGGTAGAGCGTCATTACTAACACCCCCTTCTTCCTCCGTATGGTGATCGGCTGACGGTTTGCGCTCGTGTGGCTGCATTGGCGACTCTAAAGTGCCCTTTCCTTCCGGAGATACATCACGAATAAGGACCTCTCGGCCACTGACGATGATGGAATCTCGTCCTTGGTCGAGACCAAGTTGAGCAGCATCCTTCCAATGGTCCTTTCCGTACCCAGCAATGTCCATGATGTGGGCTTCGTTTCCGGTCACGCGGTCATCGCGCTCTTTGCCTTTAGATAAGGAAGACACGGACGATGCCTCGTCCACCACCTCATCAGGCTCTACGACGGCATCGTGATTGAAGCTCGGGGCCTGGCTTGGCATCGCTGGCTTGGTGAGCTTTTCGTCTGCATGCTGCCCGCTTGAGCCAGCAACAGGAGAGGACTCGGCATCGTCCGTGTAGATCTCATTCATCTCGGCCTCGTATTCAGCTTGACGATCCAAGTCAGCCTGTCTCTCCTCCTCCAAAATCTCATCCACATCCAGTCCAAGATGTTCACGCATCAGGCGGAGCCGCAGAGTATGTGCGAAGCGACCGACGCGATAAGGTTTACCAGCCATTGTGGACCAAATCATGTCGGTGTCGCGAACAATAGCAGCGAGCTCAGAGTCACGGTTTCCGAGCATCGATCTTTCGTTGATATTGGCGGAGCCAATCAGCGCCGCCCGATCATCTACAATGATACACTTGGCGTGGATGTAGAGCTGCTCGGTGACAAGGGCATTACGGGCACCGATCTTGCCCCATTGCCGCAGACTATAGAACTGGATGTAGTCCTCGGGCTCGATGCCAGCAGCACGAAGGCGTGAGAAGATGGAACCGTCTCCGCGACAGATGCTGCGGTACTGGCACTGAAGAATCAGTCGTACACTGGTACCTTCCTGCTCATCAACAGTGTTCTGGAAGCCGGGCATGAGGGGTATGATTATGCATGCTTTCCAGTCTTCATCGTTCTCGTGTGCCCTGATAATCCGGTCGACCAGTGCATCTCCAATGCGGTTGACGATCTTTGTGTTAAAAGCCTCGGTACTCGTGATGAAGAACTGGTTTTCGATGTAGACAAAATGGTCAGAGTCTTCAATCATTTTGACATAGGCATTCTGAATGCTGCATTCCGTGTGCTCGATTCCGAGAGACCAGTTGGCCGACGATCTCAGAATTTGTACCTCACAAGTGCCAGTTAGACCAAGAGCGTCAAGTTCGGGCATCTTGACGTCAGGGGGCGGAAGCAGGAACGGCAAGGGGCGTGTTGTTTTCCTTCCTCTCTTGACGTAATTCCATCGCTGAACAAAGTGTCTTGTCAGATCTCTGGCCGGTTGGCCCACAACCTGCATAGCAATATCATGCCACGGCATTCTGGGAACCTTGCTTCTGTCGTACATCTCTTCATACGGCTCGTCGAGCTTGAAGAAGTCCTGAACTCGAGGGTTGGAGTAATCCTTTCCGGGGAAGAGTTGACAATGCTCGGCATCCTTTGGTTGCTCACTATGCTCGAAACCTGTTGGCTTGTCGTCGGTGATTGGATGCTGTGGACAGTCCCAACGACCAAAGCACAAGTCAATACCGCCGACAAAGGCTACATCGTGGTCGACGATGACAAGCTTCTCGTGGTGGGCAAAGAAAAACTGGTTCTTTTTGAACTGATTCGGGGATCGCTGCACAAAGATGTTGGGGTGAAGGTTCAGGAGGGAGTACTTAGTATACTCCGAGTCTATAGGAATAGCCGCCTCGACATTGCGGTAGACGATGACGAAGATCTTGACACCCTCCCGGGCCTTACGCTGCAAGAGACGATCCAGACGCCACTTCTGGCTGATAGCCGCTGGACGCCGCATGTAAAGCTCTGGACTTAGCCACCAGTCGTGAATGTAGATGACATCGCGAGCCATGCTGATTGCGCGGGACACATTCCACATGTAGTCTCTGCCGTCCACAAGCCATTGCGCGAAGACGCCTGTCCGAATGGGGGCGAAGCTGTCGAAACGATTGATGTCATGCCACTTAGTCTGCTTGAGCATCTCGGCGATCGAGTCCTCAAACTGTTTCATGATGTGCTGGTTTCTTGAGAACAGCTTGACCTTCCGTTCGGCAGTGTGGAGTGTCAAAGTGTGATGCTTTTCCACGTCGGCCTCTTCCGTCAAGTCGATCTCCTTCTCATCCTTCTTGGTCTTGCCCTTGGACAACTGTTTCAATGTGCTTTTCTTGGAAACAATCCGAAACTTGGAGTCAACGAGGTAGACATCGTAGACGCTCATCTTCTCAGGTGATTCGACACAGACAATGTAACTAGACCGCACAAGGAACCACTTGCGACTGTGCCGGGCGATGACCTTCTTTGGTGTCAAGACCCGGCGGAAGTCCATGCCTTTGGAGGACTGGATGTGCAGATAGCACTCTTTGCCGTGATAGCTGCCTTCGGCGGCCAAACGCACACCCAAGGCAGAGAGCTCCAAGAACTTGCAGAGGCGGTTGCTGTCTGCGCGGAACATCAACCACCGGATCATATCCTGCAGGTACTTTTCCAACACCCTTCTTTGTCGTTCAAAGTACCGTTTACGTGACTGAATGAGGTCGGCTTGGTTCTCTGTCCCAGATTCGCCGGGCTCGGTAAAACCAGTGGACTTCCTACGCATACCGAGCATGCCAAGGCGGGACTTCTTCCTAACACCTGGCCCAGCGCGTCCGCCTTCCCACTCGCTTGCTGTGCCCTCTCCAGCAGTTCCCTCGGCAGCCGTGGCTTCACCGGGAGTTGCTTCGCCGAGGTCGTCGCCCCGCAGGCTTGCGCCGTCCTCCTCATCGCTGTCGTCCTTGTTGCGGGCACTGCGGAGATAGGGGAAGGCGCCCCAGGGGAATTTGGGCATTTTAGGTCGGGCTCCCACATCGGCGCGACCATGCAAGTACTTATCGTTGCTCATCGCAAGTTTGTATCGCACATGAAGATTGTAGATGTCCTTGAGCGTTCTGATGATGGTCCATTTCATCCGGCTGGGGCCGCTGCCATACTCGAGGTCCATCGTGAAGACCCAGTGTCGTTCGCTATCGTCGTCGGATTCGGGCTGACTGTCGGTTATACGCAAACGGACCTGTTCGAGGAGGACTGGAATCCGCTTGTTGCCATGCTCATCCCTCTGGATCATGCTGGCCAGCATAAGAACAGCAGGGGCCCCGGCACGCAGTTCTGCCATGAGTTCGGCTGACTTGGCGAAATCAAAACGGTCTTCTTTCTTCTGCCTAAGAAGCTTCAAGGTGTTCTTGACATACTTCCACGTCGATGGCCTTTCGACGCCAAAGAATGGTCTCTTAGGAGTTATAGCATCGCCGTCAGAAACGCCACCTCCCCCGAGCACGGTGATGCGGCGCATGTGACCCATCCTTCTGCCGCCGGGGCTTTCGTTGCCGTCGCCATCGCGCGCGCGGTGTGACCGTATCCATGAGGGACCGGCAAGCTGATCTCGTCCCTCGCCCTCTGACATGCCGTGTTGTTGTTCAGGGTGGTGGTCGGGCATACTCAGGCGCCTTCGCAAACCTATGCGACCGTGTCCGACAGGCGAATCGGGGCCGGGGAGATGCCGCAAGTTTGGCGTACCTGGAACGGACGTCGGCGGCTTCTTCGAACGTCGCATTCTTCTCTTTTTCTTGGGCTTAGCGGCATCTGATGCGGCACCTTCATCCGCAGTCTCTTCAACGTCTGCGTCTGCATCGCTGCCTCCATCCTCCTCAAGTGTGTGGGGTATCCTTGACCTAAACTGCCCGGTGGTTGGAGAGTTTCCCATCGACGGCGGCGTGCCATTGTCGTTCAAGTTGCCCGAGCTGCTTGTCTTGAGGGTTTGCAAGCTACCTGACCCAGTCAGCTGCTTCAACTTGATCATGAAGGCCGAACCAATCGACTTCCCCCCACCATCTTCGCCTGACGGTTGTCGTGAATGGCTGGCTGGTGCCTCCAGGACTGTGTCCGTCCGAGCAAATTGTACGCTTCGACGATCAGTCGGCGAGGCTGGCTCGGGAGCGTATGTTACATCTTCAGGCATCCGCGGGAGACCTCCTAGGCCTTGACGCGCGCTGTCTGACGAGTTGAGAGTGGGTAGTGCCGGTCGCTTGCCATTTTGGGTAGGCGATACGCTGTCGTGGGGGGCTCCTCCATTGATATAGTCTCTTGCTTCGATTCCGGCGTCGATCGGGATATGGGAAGAATTTCTGGGCGTGGAAACGTCCTTCGGAGGAGCAGGAGGAGCGTCTTTTGGTGGAGGAGGCGGGGCGGCAAGATAGTCTGGCTGGCCCGTAATAGAAGGTGAGGTTGCACGAGGGCTTCTTGTCATTGGCGATACGGATTCATCTCGTCTCGAGTCCGTCATGGTGACGGGGTGTAGGTAAAATGGAAAGAGCGAACCGATGAGAGATCGGAAACCGTACTAGTATGGTAGAATCAAGCTGCGTTGAAGGTTAGAGAATGGATTGAATGCTTCAACCATGGCTCGGTCGTCGTCGCTGTCGTCGTTGTCGTCGTCGTAAAATGAGAGACAGTAACCTAGCAAGGGGTTGGGCTCGTGATCGCAAGACTGGATTGTAGGGGTAGGTCTGGTGTCTTGAAATCGCGGTCGAGGCAATGATGCGGCCGAATGGTAAGGGAGTAAGGGAAGCTAAACCGAGACAACAACGGTGATTGTGTGGATGATCACCAGCACTGCGATTAACGGAAAAGCTGCTAAGAAAAAAATCAACTGACAGCGATGGCAGCAGACCGGAAAGATATGGCAGTACCCAAAAAAGGGCAGGCTGAGGTCGCTTCTGCAGGCCCTGCAGGGTTGATAGAAGATCAGTATTGTTGCAGTTGTGGTGTTTGGGAACTTGAGACTCTGGGATTCAGGAACCTTAGGTAGTCGCGTCGGGAAAGAGACAAGGGGGCCGATGGGGTAGTCGTGCAGCAAGAGGGAAGGGAGGGACGAGGACCAGCAATCCTTGTGATGGTCAGCAGTCCCCAAACCAAGTTGCAGCGTTAGTGGAGGGCGCGGCTTAAGTGCTTCTTTGACTCCGAGCCAATGGGCATCCACGGAGACAGACATAGGAGAAAAACGATTGGAGCAAAGTGAATAGGACAAAACCCTATGGAAAACGCGAATAAGTTATAGTATGTCTAAGCTAAGTTCTGTGCAAAATAATAGGAGGGGAAATATCCCTTTGTAGACCATAGGATCCCTGCCTCAGGCTTAAATTAGCCTCAGGCCTAAACAAGTTAGCCAATGACAAGTTAGCACCTACGCTACTGCTAACTATTCCTTTTCCCCTAAAAATAAAGCTATTATAACCCTAATATTATACTTCTATCCTTCTAAAGAAAGTAGTCTATAAACACTATTAATAGTCTATTCTTATCCCCCTAAGAAAGAATAACTTAGTATACTAGCCTAATATAAAATAACCTATCCCTAATATTATAATTTTGCCCCTTAATAACGCCTTCTTAAACTTTCCTAGGATATTATTAATTAGCTCTAAATATTCTAATGCCCCCTTAGAATCCCCTAATATGTTATCTAGTCCTTAATGCACAGGAGGGTTCTAGGTACTAATCTAATTAATTAAAGTATAATAGTTAGTCTTAAAGACTATCCTCTAATAGTAAGCTTTAATATTAATATTAAGATAATAGAGCATAAAGTAATTAAGGCTATTTAAGTATATAGTCTATAGGTAGCGTTAAAGGTTTCCTAGTAAAGTAGTTACCTTATCCTAAAGGGCAAGGTTAGTGTAGATAATTTAGAGCTAAGTAAAGCCTTTGCCTAGGTCTCTATAGTATTAAAAGATAACTTATAAATAGTTATCTACTATAGTTAAGTCTTAGTTACGCCTAGGGCTAGCTTAAAAAGAAGTATTAACTGTTCTTTACCTAACAAAGATACTAAATACCTAGAGGTATTTAATAAGCTCTACTTTATTAGTTAGTTAGAGTGTCTAAAGGATGTTAGTATAGGTAGAAGTATACCCTAGATAAGCACTAATAGTATAGCCTAGAGTAATTATATAGACAGTGCTACCTTATTTAACTTAGTTAATAATTCTAAGAATAACTTATAAAGTCCTATAGTAGACAGGTTATATAGTAAGATCTCTTAAGGTAACTAGGAGTAGGTTAGCCTTAGTAATAGTTAAATTAACTATAGTATACTACTAATAGGCTCTAAATCTAAAGCCCTAATACTAAGGGATATTAACTATATGTTAGTAATAATTATTAGGGTCCTTATAGAAGTCCTATAGTAGTAGGTCAAGAGGCATTAGTATAAGGGGAGTAGATCTAGCTTACATAGGGAGTTCTACCTAGGGAAAAGATATTATTATAATATTATTATCTCTATCTTGTTAAGGCTAAGATTATAGGGTAAAGAATACCTCTTTACTTCTATTAAATACTAATATAGTGCTTTAGTCTAGTATAATAGGTTAAAGTTAGTTAAGTTAGTTCTAAGCTTTTGCCTACTCTTACTTATTAATTATCTCCTTATCTTCCTCTTTTATAACTTAGTGTTTAGTAACTTAGTACTTATTAATTAGATTAGAGTTATCCTTCTAATTCTAATTAGGTTAGTTAATAACTTAGTTCTTATTACGTAGAATAGAACTATATTCCTAAGGTTAATTAGCCTAGTTAATTTAGTTATTAGCTACTAATGCAGAAAGCTTAGGCTCTAAATCCTTAGCTAAAATTAGGTCTAGTCTAAGGGTCCCCTAAAAAGGCATTATATCCTAGCTAATCTAAACAGTAGCTAGTAGGATTCTATTTTGTCTAGCTAGCTCTAGTTAATTAGCTACTGCTCTAGCGTAGAAATACTACATTAACTTAGGAACATTCTGTCTTAGTAAGTCTATTTATAGTAGTTATAAGTCTTATAAAAATATAACTTTATCTAGATTAGCTAATAGATCCCTAGTAGTTATTCCTTAGTTCTAAGCTTCCCTTAGTTAAACCCTCTAAGTGTAGCATAGAGGTCTAAGGATTTATAGTATAATTAGGGACTTAAAGGGGAATTAGGTGTTTTAGTAAGCGCTAAAGATATATATTACTAAGGAGTCTAGAAAAGTAAAGATTCTATGCCTAATGTTTAGCTTTAGTTCTAGTGTTAAAAGCAGAGGTGTAGGTGTAGGTAGAAGTATAGGTAAAGGCAAAGGTAGGTCTTAGATCTAAATAATTAAGTATAGTCTATTAGCTTTTACCTTAGGTGTAGACAGCAGGAGGGCAACCTCTAGTCTCTGTCTATATTACTTAATATAGTCTCTCTTATAGAGCACTAGGGATTATATAGTAATTACTAAGACTACATTATTTTATACTACTCTCTAGGTAGCCCTTATATACTTAGGGACTATTATATATAGAATAAAGATATATTAATACTCCTGTCCTATCTAGGATTATAGAGGAATAGTGTTAACTTAGTAGCCTAGATGTCCTAAGAGATAAACATTAGATAGGCTATATTACCTTTAGTTCTTAATAGTAGGTTCTAATCTATAGCGTTCTCCTAGAAAAGGTAGTCTACTTTTAGGCTAAGTAGAGAAGATAATATACTTAAAGTTCCCTATCTAAAGACCTATACTATCTATAAGGAATAATACCTCTTCTTTGTTAATTTCTTAGAACAGAATAGCACTATAGCCTTTAAAGGTGTCCTTGTCTCTCTTATAATAGATGCTTATAAATCTAAAGGGATACTAGTATCTAGATAGACCTTATATTTTATAATACCTTATAAAGTAAGGGGCATAGACTAACTATATACCTAAGTTAACCCTAGAGGCCTCCTATATAATAGTCCCTTGTCTAGTCTTAGTAAATACTTTAGTAGTCTTAGATAAGTGCTAAACATAGACCTAGAACATAATTACTATAAGGATAAAGAACTCTAGAGGGAGAAGGTCTATAGGAAGTTATTCTAGATAAGATTAAATAGTCTAGATAAGTTAATAAAGTATTTATTAGTTAGTAAAGTTAAGTATATAGAAGTAAGCTATATCCTATATAGGTAATAAAGTTAGATTAATATTCTTAAAGTAAGGTAAAGTATTTAGCTCTAAAAGTTTAACTCTAAGGGGCTAACTAATTAGCTATTATTTATTCTCCTCCTTAAAATAATCTACTATAGCTTATATAGGTAGTACTAAAAACTAGGTTCTATCTACTAAGTATTAAGCCCTAAGGGTTAGAAATTTAGTATAAAGTAGTTAGTTAGCTCCTTAAAGAAGGTTAGTGTAGAGGATAGGCCTTATTATATTTATCCTTATAAACCTACCTACAAAGGCAGCGCTAGTAAATACCCTTCTTAAATTAGGATCTTATTATAGTACAGCAGAAGCTTTATTAGCTATAATAGCTATTCTAGTAGAACTATTAGCTTCTATAAACAAAGGGTATTTAACCTACTCTAAATTCTTTTCCTAGTTTTAGTAGCTAGTTAGATCTTAGAACTAATAAAGATTAATATAGCAAGAATTAAGATATAGTTTAGATAAAAGGGCTCCTTAGGTAATAATAATTACCTTAGTAAGTTCCTCTCTAGCTAGTAGATTTTAAGGTTATTAGTAGTAAATACGTTAGTTTAGCTCCTATCCCTTAGTCCTAAGGATGTCTATGCTAGGGTGTTAAGGATTATCTTAGTTTATAGCTTATAGATTAATTATTTCTAGCTTAGGTCCTCTAGCTTCTATAGCTAGCACCCTTAGGGGTAAAGTACTATTCACTAGGTAGTAGATTTTAGCTTCTAAAAGGCTATCTATTATTAGTAGTAATTAGTTAGAGAAGAATAATTTAATAAAGTCCTTATAAGTAAATAAGAAAAATATAAAAGTAATAAGGGAAAAATAGTAGTAACTTTTTTTTATTAAAAAAAAAAACAGCAAAGGAAAATAAAAGGCTAAGGAGTAAGGTAAAGTAGATATCTCTACCCTAAAGAGTCTAAGGGGAGTAATAGGTAAAAAATAAAAAGAAAATAGGAAATAGAGGAGTAGTAAGTAGAGGATAAAAGGGCAAGTAGGTAGAAGGGTAAAGAGGGTAAAGAGGAATTTTATTATAGCAGAAAGGAAGAAAAATAAAGGTATCTTTTGTCTAGAAGGGCAAGTACAAGAAAAACTATTCCTAATTAGTTAGCTTTTTCCTCTAGTAACAACTTTAAGCTTTAGTAAAGTTAGCTAATAACAAGACTTCTATATAGTTAGCTAATAATATATTTATTACTAAGGAGGTTAATAAACTTACTATAGTCTATTCCTAGCTATAGGCCCTAATAGCCTAAAAAGTTAAATAATTAGTATCTCTATACTTAAGTCTAGCGCAACGCCTAACTAAATAAGAGCAAAAGGTTAGCTTCTAACTAAAGATATCTAGACTATAGTATAAAGCGTTTAAGGTAATCCTAGTGTTAGTTATTAAGTATCTTAGAGCTATCTAGTTTACATAGGGTATATAATAGCTAACTAACTTATTAATTAATTATAAATAGTCCCCTCTACCTTAGCTTTAACTTTAGTAGCTTTTTCTCCTAAACAACTATAACTAGGTCTCTAGAAACAAAAGGTTTATATTATTAAAGTTTATACCTAGCTTGTCTAGTAGCATCTATAGTAGCATTTTTGCTAACTATAGTCTTCTAGTGTTATTCTATCCTAGCAATATATAATATTACTGTATCCCTTAGTTCTAGCTTAGAAAAAGGTTACTATAATCTATCCTAAATTATCTAGGCTAGTTAGGAGTTAAAGGCTAAATAGAACTATCTACTAACTAGGTCTTAGGTAAGGGTAGTAAATCTATATAAGACCTACTAAAGTACTAGGGCAATCTTTTAAAGGTGTTAAGAATTTAGTGCCTTAAGGGCTTCTATATACTCTTTATCCTATTTAGCTTTAATCTATATACACTGTTTCCTAAGAATAAATTAGATAAGTTTATTATATACCTTAATTATACTAATAGACTTATAAGCTTATACTAGCGCTATAACAGTAGTAACGCCTTTGTCCTTTATCTTAGATTTAAATCCTTTAGACATAAAGGCTAACCCTATATTAGAGTAGATTAGTATAGGTTTTAACAGTATAATATCTATCTAGGATAACAGTG